ATAGTTATTTTCAAGTATACTAAATGATGTATATAATCATATTTAAGTAGCCTGATATTAAGCATTCCTTCTAAGTAATTCACATGACTCTATCAGCTCTATTTCATGTTAATTAGAAAAACGCCAACAAAGAATTTCTGATGAGGTGTAACAGAAATTTGTTGTGAGGCTTCCTGAAAATCCCCGGAAAAGTACCTTACAATAGTCAGGTCTCAGATTCTTGCACCATAAAATTAGAAAATCATTTATAAATCATGTCATTTGCAAACTGTGCATAAAAATCCCCTGGGGAACTTAAACATTAAATAAACCAGCATCCACACAAGAGATTCTGATTCAAAAACTCAGAAACAGGACAGGAAAATAATTTTTAAGGGGTGCTCTAGGGATTCTGATACAAATAGCATTCGTACTGCATTTGGGATATACTCATCTAGTATAAACCTCTCATTTTATCTATCAGCAAATGGCAACCTCTCTTGTCTTCAGAAAAGAAATATTTCTGAGGAGGTACGTTTTCAAGCTGATAACTGCACATGGTAGGCACTGAAATAAGATACGGGGACCTACAATGCATTTAAATTACAGAAAGTGGTATCACCATTCCTCTGAATACAAGTTTTTATTGTTATTTTTCCCTTCTTTCTACCTCCTTTCTCCCCCCGCCCCCAACACACACGCATTTAATTATAGAGAAAATACTGGGTAAGATCAAAACAAACTGAAGCAGTGACCAGTAACGAATCCAATAAGAAGAAAGATGTGGAGAAAATGCTTTAGAAGAGAACGTGAAAAAGGCTTGGATTTTTCTACATAGGAACGAGAGCTCTTCTCCATCAGGTCCTTCTTGTGAGAAATGGGTTTGGAATAATTTAAAGATACACTCCCCCTCCCCAACTACATGAGTAAAGCAATTAGAAAACAAGCTGTATTAAAATGAAATGCCATAAGGTGTTGCTATTCACCCACATTTTGAGGTAGATTAGATTTACATTCTGTCACTCAAGAACAGGAGTGGCGATTGTGAAGAAGGACACAGAAGGAAAGCTCAGGATATTTCAGGGGCTGTCAGGACACGATAAAATGTCATGATAGGGGATTTTGAGCAACCAGAGGAAACAAGTTAGGAGAATAAAGGAAACAGAAGATGGGTGCAGGGGGGCAGCTACTTGCGAATAACGGAAGTCAGAAAGAAGGGAGAATCCTAGTGATTTACCTGAAACATGGACAGGAGAAGCAAAGGGGATTATTCTGCCAAGGACACACTTTACCTTGTTTGTATTTTGGCCTAGGACAAGCTTAGCCTTTGTGCTTTTCCTTGAGAGGGTATTGGGAAAACTCGCTTCATTAAAACAGTGCAAATTACTGGATACTCTTCCTAGAACTTTCCTGCTACCCATGAACAGGAATGAATTCACATTCCTCAGATAGTCAAGGTTCCCTCCCTTCATATATTGCCTGGCTCCAAATTTATGAATGTTTCCTCTCTAGCTTCCCTTTCTCTCCCTTCTCTCTCCTCTTTGCAGTTTATTTACTGAGGAGGATGAACGCCAGGGAAGGACTAAAGACCAAATAAGGCAAGCAAAAGATTGATGAGGAATCAGACGTAGGCCGTGGTTAAACACACAGGAAGCAGGTCCACCACAGCCCTATGACCACAGCGGATTCAGACGGCATGACATTCACAGGAAGAAGAATCACGTTCCAGATGAGGTAGGGGAAGGCAGGCAATGAAAAAGAGCCAGGAAAGCCCAATTCGGTTAGTCTCTCACCTCCCAGGCATTGCTGAAGAACTCGCCATCATTTTCAAAGCAGCCGTTACTTTTCTGTTTGCTTAAAAGCCAGATTAAGGTCTGTTTTTGAACATTTTCATCAATGAATATATATTTTTTCATCCTCTCTAATGTCTTAAAAGAAAGGGCACTGAGCCTGTAATGTAAATCACCAGAGTAAAAGTTAGACAAAAAAGAAATGATGAGGTCAGCTATTCCACGGGTTCATCGGCATTGCTCCCTTTGGGTAACGGATGCATTCGACTTATCTAATGTTGGCTGAAACCAGTCTTTCTCAATTCTAGCTTTTTCCTTTGGGTAAGTAAAATATTATGATTAGCAATAAGTGAAAATTAGAGTAATTTTCAGCATGTTTATGCCCAAAGGTCTTACCGTTTAGTCTATTAGATTACCCATACATGGAGACAGAACTAGCGTAATTTAGATGCTTTCGGGCTTTCTAATTTCACTTTCCTGAGTCTGTATGGGACTCTCATAAGTACAGAGTAAGATGTGCCATTTTCCATGGAATTAACTCACTGTATAAGTATAGGGGGCTGTCATTAAATGGTCCGACTGCTAAGCAAATTGCCATGAGATGGTAGGTATATTGTTGCATTAGAATAATCAAATCTTTTAATTTTGTGATTCTCCTCTGTAAATTCACTTTGAAACCCTCTTTGCTTCCAAATCCTTACTGAACTCATCCCCCCATCTCCTTGCAAGGCTTTCTTAGATAATTCTTATATTATTTAAAATAAAATTTTTATCTCTTACCATATGCTTCCTTCCTGATTCATTGACCAAAACATATCATATGAACCATCAGAGTTTTTGAAAGACAATTGGTTTTGATAACCTAAAATACAACATGGCAGAAAATTATTTTTTAATCTAAGAAAGTTAGAAGAAAAAGAATGGTGTAGTACAGGTCCTGGATTTTGTTGTTAGATGAAAGTTACTAAGATGATTATTTCAATTTGAATTTCTGAAACTGAGTTTCACTATCCATAGGGAGTAAAAGTAATTCCCACCTTACAAGGTTTTGGTGACAAATAAGACAGTACATATGACCATGCCTAGCTCAGTAACTAGCTCATCATTGGTGCTAACTGATTGCTTAGTCTCTTTCCCCTATGATTATTTTACTTCAGTGTTATCTTCATGAAAAGAAAACCCCTGGGCTTTTCCTTATTATCACATTTTATACTATTTATCCACCCTCTTTCTACACACGAATTCAATTCCTTCACTGTAATGGAACACAGCTGAGTAAACAAATGCAGAAGTTGGTAAATGAACCATTTACAGCTACTATGAACAACAAAAACGAACACCAAGGTGACTTGGCAAAATACCAGGTGTTAAAAGAAGATAACTGAATTCATAATTTGAAAACTTTACAGTTCCAAATTATGAAGCAGACTGACCACACAGATTTTGAAGTCAAAAAGAAAACGTAGGTAGGATTCAGAGTTCCTCAGTTTAGGTCCAGGTTTCCCCTCCCTGAGTATTTCATAAAAGTAGTTTCGTGGTGTCGTGGTATTGGTAACAATTGGTTTCAACTATTATGAGCAGAAATTACTTAAATCTTCTTACCTTTAGATAAGAGAGAGAATGCCCGAGACTTAAGTTCCTCTGTCAGCTGCTCAGTAGACTGCAGGTAGTCGAGGACGTAGGTATTGGATGCGAGTAGGGCAACATTCTGCTCTGCATTTCTATAGGGCATCTGGAGAGGATCATCCAGATTCTGCACTGCAAGTCCCAGAAAATCTCCTAAAAACAGAAAATCAGAAAGTCGTATTGCTTATAGTTGTAATCTCAGCATTAATAACCATAGATAAAAGAGACATAGTGACAGTAGGAAACATTTAAAATCGGGTCTAAAAGGCGGAGACAAAGAAAGTTTCATGAAGTAATTCTGAAGAGGAGATAGCCATGTATGGTTGAAGTTAAAGGGGTTTCTGGTATGGAAAATATTTCTGAGAGAGAAAGGGAAGTTAGGAAGGTGTGTTTGTTTGCTTACTTGTTTTTTTGAGAAATTGACTCTATGAACTATAAATTGTAATCCATCCCTCTTGAAAATATATTAATGTTAATAATAAGCAAATCAATTTGCTTTTTGTAAAACAGATTCCTCCTTATACTGAGGACATTCCCAGCATCTTTAACAGGCAAATTTGTTCTGATTCTCCAAGAGGTGAATTTAAGAGTTCAGATTAATGGGTTATAATGGAACTTTTGGTTTTCGGAACACCAGTTATCATCTACCAGAACTGTGTTTCCTAGAAACATGGGGTTAGAAAGAGTACTGTAATCTCTTCTGATTCCATAGGGAAACAAGCATAGAGGATGATCTGAACAATAATTCCTTCTAATTCACAGCTTGAGAAAATCTCTCTATCCTTTTATTTTAAGAATTTTTGGGGGACAGTCTCAACCAAGATTTTCAAATCATTGTGAAACACAAAATTTAATCAACTTACCTACAACAGTGAAAAAGCCTCTGGTGGATCCTTCTACGACATCATTTGGCAAGTCCAAAACTACCTGCTTGGAGGCTTTGGTACCTGGAAAGAAAATACAAATTAAAAAAGTCAGCAGATTTGGGGAGACAAACATATTAGAAGTCAGATTCCATTATCTATTTTTATATTACAAGTTGCATTTTTTGAGGAGATAAAATTGAGGGTTTGATGTAGTTTAGAATAACAGCACATTCAGAAAATGGTATATAAATCTGTGTGTTAGATAGTGAGCCCCATTCTCCACTAGCTTAGCACCTGCTAAATATTCAAAACTACTGACTATGACAAATAACACAGCACACACAAAAGGTAAAGCTTGAAGAGTCTGATTTGGCATTAAAAGCAGATCACCATCAATAAGGTAAAATAATACCCATAATGGGCATAAAACAGGAGATTGAGGGGCAGTGATGTATCTACAGGTTATTTCCTCTTAAGAGTATAAAAGCAAAGATTATATGACGTGCTATTTGGACATAATGATTTCCCATTGTCCAACACTGAGTGACAACCAAATGGTAAGAGTTGTTGCAAATGCACAAGATGGGAAAGAACAGGTTGAGGAGGACCAATGTCATAGGTGAACTAAAAAAATTTTATAAATATACTTTTTGATCGCTAAAATTATACGATGAAGATAAAGCATGAAATGAAGTAATCCTCTATGAAGTATTTAAAATGAACTCACAAGACAAGTGGACTAATGCGGAAGGAGAGGAAATGAACTGACCCTGCTGATGAATTTTCTTTAGGACTAATTTGAGCACCTAAAAGATCTTCTTACCTTTTGTACAGATAAGGTAACTCTGGGTAGTTTCTCTTTCAATACCTTCAGGCTATGGAAGATTAAACAAAAACGAGCACAAAATTATGAGTCTGGGTCATCTTTCCACTAAGGAGAAGCAATCAAGCATCAGCTCACAAAAGCACGGCTAGTACAAATTTATCCCTGAAAAAAGACCCATTATGGCCTCCTCCTGTCTGTATCTACAAGTCACTGCACATTACCAACACTCATTTTAGGCCCTGTGTTCCCATAGGCTGGACAGAGGATGTCATCGTGGGACACTCTCGACTCTTCTGATCCCACCTAACATCTCCAGTAGACGAAGAAAAGTGTTTTGTAGAGCAGGGATATGCCCAGAGATGAGACAAGATTGCTCCTCTGATAAGTGTTGATTCTTCTTGAGGGTGATGGCTGTATAGGAGTGTGGGACAAGGACGTTTGTCTCTTGTATTTGAGAATCAGTTTGTTTAAAGAGAAGGAAGAGAAATAGGTGGCACAGGAAACATCATGAGTCAGGAGCAAACAAACCATTGTCAAGCCTGTTTCAAGTGCTAAGTTT